CCTTTTTATTTTTGTACTTTGAGACAGGGTCTCGCTGAGTTGCTGTCTCAGTACACACATTCACCACCAGCTCGCAGTAAGTGCTGGGGGCAGTGATGGAGGGGCTGTGTGCTGCTGTGATGTAATGAAACCTGTATATATTCTGGTCTGTGCCTCAGCTTTTAGCTAGGGTTCCTGCAACTCTTGTATTTTCATAAGCGATAAAAGCCATAGAAGCTTCTTTTGTTAATAATTGGTTTTGTCCCAAGTTCCAGAAATAAAGGTGAAAGAAGCTTTTTTTTTTTTTTTGAGACAGGGCCTCACTATATAGTCCAGGCTGGCCTTGAACTCCCTTTGTAACCCAGGCTGGCCTCAAACTCGTGGCAATCCTCCTGCTTCAGCCTCCCAAGTGGTGGGATTATAGGCCTGAGCCACCAACCTGAAGCATCTTTTGCTATTTATAACAAAAGTTTGTTGACGAGATGACTTTTAGAAAGCACTTAAGGATAGGGGCTTCACTCCTCACCTCCAGGGAGGGGAAAGCATGGAGAGGGATTTAAGCACTGAGGACCAGCTGACTGAGTCAACGGTATCTACATAAAGAAGCCACTGTAAAAACCCAAAGGGAGAGGCTTCGGGGGTCTTCTGAACTGGTAAACTCACGGAGGGGTTGGGAGGGTGTTGTACCCAGAGGCAGGAAAGCAGTGTGTCCCTTTCCACGCCTTTCCTTAGGCAGTTCTTCCATCTGGCTGTTCTTGAGATGTAGCCTTCCTAACCTACTGGAAATCTAGCGAGTTAACTTTTCCTGAGTTCTGTGGGGCCGTTTCTATTGATCATGGAGCCTAAGAGGGGGTACCAGGAGCCTCAGACTTACAGCCAGGCAGTCAGAGCACAGGTGTCAGCCAAGACTTGCACCTGTCTGAAGTGGTGGCAGTCTCAGGAACCTGAGCCCTTGACTGGTGGGGTCTATGCTAACTCCAGAATCAGTAGATGTGGGGGGAAAGCTCTCCCTGTTAGGCGCTGGTCCAGGAAAAGAAATTAATTTTGGGGGCTGAGGGTGTAGCTCAATGGTAGAGCATTTGCCTAGCACATGTGAAACCTTGGATTCCATCCCAGCAGTGGGAACAAAAGTTTTTCTTTCTTCTAGTTGAGAAGAAGGGAATGAATGCCTCTTGAGCCTTTTACTACATGCAGGGCCTTCATTCTCATCAGCTTGTTTGTTTCTGGTGTGTGTATTCTCTTTAATTGAAAGATTACTCAATGAATTTTAAGCACAAAAAATGCACTGATTTTAAATGTGTTAAAAAAGTAGCTATATCAGTTTACAGCAGTAAAACTACTACCCACAACAAGGTACTAACCACTGATCTTACATTTGAATACCATGAAGGTTTTTTAAATTGGAAGGATAAAGAAAAACTTTCACAAATATCCAAGGAGAAAAAGCAGGTTAACTACAAGGGGCAAAAGTCAAGATGACCTCAGATTTTTCTCTTGTAGTTTTTTTTTTTTTGAGATAGGGTCTCCCTATGCAGTTCAGGCTGGCCTTGAGCTCACTTTGTAGCCCAGGCTGGTCTCGAACTCGCAACGATCCTCCTGCCTCAGCCTCCCGAGTGCTGGGATTACAGATGTCCATCACCACACCTGGCTTCTCTTGCAGTTCTAAATGCTGGAGGACAATGGAACAATATCGACAGGGTTTTGAGGGAAAATAATTTTGAACCAAGAATTATATACCCTGCCAAGTTATTATTTCATATGAAGGAAACTGGAAGATATTCTCAGGTATCCAGAGGCTAAGAGAACTTATCAACCAAGCATTTTCTCTGAAAAATTTGCTGAATTATTTACTGCAACCAACAGAGAACATGAATTAAAAATAACTAAAGAGTAGGGAGGCAACTGTATGAAAGATCCGATGGTATGCTACAGAACTAGGTAAGCAGCATGAAGTCTATAACAGTTCTTTAGATTCTTAAAGTGGAGGCTATTGCTTTCTCTTACATGGGCGCGGATGAGGAAACCTACAAGGCTGCGAGAGCCTCAAAAAGTTCAGGACTTCCTGACAGCCTTCAAACGCTGCTCTGCAGCTTCCTCCGTAAGACAAAAGCAACCTTCTGCTGAGCATCACATAATACCGAATAGCATTTTATTTTTAAATTTTTGGTGCTGGCGGTCGAACCTAGGACCTCAGGCAGGCACGCTCTCTACCATTACCCTCTCTACCAACAGTCTCTAGTCAGACTATTTATTGATTTATTTCAGTGCTGGGGAAAACCCAGGACCTCATGCTTTTTAGGCAAACTTACTACCACCGAGCTAAAAATCCCTAGCCTACTTCTAATAAAAATGTATGAAAAATTATAGGCAATGATTCTATTGTGCGAAATGCTTTCCATGGATTGTCTCAATGTCTTCACAATCATGCTCTGAGATGGGTACTGATGGGGTCTAGGACATATCACCCAGAACTGTTTACCAGAGACCACAAAAATGCTACCTCCTCTTTGGAATATTGCTTATTTTGAGAAACTGTAGACCTAGGAACAGTTCTGAAAAGCTGCCCTTTCCTAAAGGAAATTTCCATCTTTTTATATAAGGGAAACTTTCCATAGTAAAGTTATCTGTAGCAAGAAAGGAGCTACTTTGAGAGAACTCTTATGATCTGAGAGACTTTACCTGTGTAACAGCTGTTTGGTCCAACACATTTTCTTCCCTCATCCTCCCACCACCCCAGCGCCTCCCGAAATCCTCTGCCTGTTGCTCACTGCTGTATACAACTCATTTGTCTTGGCCTTTCTTTGAGTCTCTTATCTGTGGAACTTTTGAGTTTGTGCTTATGTAACTAAAATGGGCTTCTCCTGTTAATCTGTTTAATTTGCAGCCCAAACAACCTAGTATAAGGAAGCCATTATTTTCTTCCCCTACAATGCTTTATCACCTCCATTCTGCAGAACAGGAAACTGAGACTTCGTAAAGGTAAACAACTATTAGGTCCCATACTAAGTCAGTGGAGGAGCTGGGCTTGAGTACAACTCCTCTGCTCATTTCCCGCCACAGGACCCGATGTGAAATGTAAGAGACGCACACATCCTTTATTCTCTGTTCAGACCTGACTGGGGACCTTACCGGAGGACAGGACCCCAGCATGGCCTACAGCCTTCCACAGCTGGCACTGGGCAGCTCCATTAAGCAATCTAAATATTTTTATTTCAACAGCAATCCTTGATGTCTAAATGATTAAGCAGCAAAACACAGAAAGACAGATTTCTGAAAGCCAGATTGGAAAAAGTGAATGCGAATGCAAACTGAACCAGGAAGCAGAAGCTAAAGGAAACCTCAACACCGCGTGAATGAATAATTTTTCTAAAGTAGGAGATTTTCCAAGAGGTAAATCTACAGTTTCCGTCTATCTCTCCACTTGAAAAGCAGAAAAAAGATCAATTCCATCTGCCTCCCTGAGAAAACCAAAGGTGTCAGATCAGGAAGTTAAAGAGCAGGGTTCCTCAGACCACTTGACTGCCCAGGGGCCCGGGCCCGGGCCCGGGGGGCCTGCGTCTGGAGCTGTGGCTCCAATGAGAGGGTGCAAAGGGGCAATTTCAGTCTACAGCTTGAAAATCACCGTTTGCAGCCTCTACTTGTGACACAGAAAATAGAAATCTTTGAGGGGAGCTGTCCTATAAGGCAGCCAAAATACTGTTCCAGAGATTCCTACTTTAAGATTATGCCCTGGCACCCTCAGTTCCTACAGGCCTCACAAGGGAAACAGCTCATACTTCTTCATTAAGTTCCTACCCTGTAGCAAGACTGGTGCTAAGAGCCCTATGTGTACATTCGCTTTTCTAATCTACATAACACCACTACAAGGAAAAATACATTACTTCCACTTTACAAAGGAGAAAGTGAGGCTCAGAGAGGTTAGGTAACTTGCCCAAAGTATTAAAGTAAGGGCACTGCCAAGACGAAGCTTAGGCCTACCTGACTGCAAAGTCTACACTCTGAACAATTCCTCTTTGGGCATTCTGCAGCCAAAGCCCTTCGAAATGGGACATCAGCTGTCCCCCTCCTACCTCTTCCCAGGTGCTCTCACAGCTGCCATCTCACCTTGACTCTGACCTACATAAGGCCAAAGGGCAGAGAATCCTTTCCCCGAGTACCTGCCACAGGCCCAGAGCATTTTCCTGTAGATTATTTAATTAAAATGACAGCCTGATGCTGAGATAGGTATGATTATCACCCCAGTTTGTACGGTTATAAAATTGAAGTCCAGAGTAATGAAGGCAGCTGCTTAAGATCACAGAGCTAAGGTGGCAGAGGCCACAATTTCAAGTCAAATCTCTCCAAAGCCTATGCATCAGTCAGTAACACAAACTATACTAAGAAGCACAAATAAAATTTAAAGACATCTATGATGCTTTTGAGAGGGAGATGTAAGACACTAAGCCTGTTCTGAAAGTTCTCCTGCCTCAGCTCCTAGGGGCTGGGGTTATAGGCATGTGCTGCCATGCCTGGCTTTCAAAGGTATATTTAGCGAAAGATTTAAAAAGTTAAAATCTTAAAGAACTGATGAATGATGACCCAAAAGAATATGCGAAAAAGAGACAATATCTTAGTGTAATATATTAAACCAGATCACAAGGCAATAATGTTTCAAACTGTAGTATTAAAACAATGAAACGGGGAAGGAATTTCATAACATATGTATTGGAAAGACTATTAGTTGAAAAAAAAAGTAAATTAGCTGGGCGTGGTGGCATACACCTGTAATCCCAGTATTTGGGAGACTGAGGCAGAAGGATCATCATGAGTTTTAGGTCAGCCTGGGCTACACAGAGAGTTAGAGACCAGCCTAAACCACATAGTAAGACCCAGTCTCAAAAAACAAAACAAAAAAAGTAAATTATGTATTAATTTTACAACTCTAGGACCCAGGGAAGACAGACCACATTATCTTTATTTCACAGACAACCTGAACCAGACCCAGAAAGGATAAGTGAACCCTTTGCCCAGGGCTTCATTACCTGAGAGTCAAGGCTTGCGGGAGGCTCCAGGTGCAGGCACCTTTTGGAAAATGAATCTTCTGAGGGCCACCTGGTCTTCTCCAGTCTAAGTCTTTTTTTATTTTATTATATTTTATTTTCCAGTCTAAGTCTTTAGCAGGAAGCTCAACTCAGCCGCAGAGACCCCACCGACAGCCTGTACACTCACAGAGCCCTGGCACAAGCATGGACTCTTTCTGTACAACTTCCTCCTGTCCTACGTTTCAGCCCACTTCCATAATGCACTACCTTACCTCTAGCATGAAAGTTCTTCCTCTACAGTCTACCCTTTTGTATTATCCATGAAGACAAGCTCTCACGGCAGCTATCAATAGACCAAGTGATGATCATTTATTTTCTCTCATCTGTGATGACCCTAGCAATGATACCCAGTAGCATGAGCACATTTTGCCCTGGATCTTGGTTTCTAAGTTTCATCTCCTACAAAAGGAAGCCAGGGATTCTGGAGAGACTGATGATTCCAGGATTTTGACTCCAGGTGGGCCCTGGAACTTGCCAGATGTCGAAGAAGCAATCAGTGACTAAGAAGTCACGTCAAAAGAATATAAGAGTTGGTCTGAAGACCAAATTTAGGAATATTTGAGTATCAAAATGAGTAATACTGGGATTGGGGATGTAGCTCAGTGGCACAGCACTTGCCCAGCATGTGTAGAGCCCTGGATTCAAACTCCAGCACTGGAAAGAAAAATAATCAAAAATAATCAGTGGTCCATAATGTTATTGAAAAAGAAGGGGGGAGAAGAGAGACAGAGAAAAACATGTATTCTATAAAAAAAAGAGTACCAAGCAATAAATGCAGGAGGAACAGCAGAATTAGAAAACTACCATACTGTAACCCTCAATGTTGCACAGTAATTCAACCAAAGATCACCGCTGGATGCAGTGTGGCAGGTAATCAAGAATACACAATTCTCATACTCGCGAAGTCACTTCACAGACTTATTGGGAAATTTTACTCTTACAGTGAAGACATCAAGAAGTCACAATTTTATTCATTCATTCATTCATTCATTCATTCATTCATTTAGGTACTAGGGGTTGAACTCAGGGCCTTTGCACTGAGCTATAATCTCAGCACTTTTGAAATTTTGAGACAGCGACTTACTAAATTGCCTACGTTAGGCTCAAACTTGCAATTTTCCCTCAGTCTCCCGGAGTGGTGGGGCTATAGGTGTGCACCACTCTGTCCAGAGAGCTTGTTACAATTTTAACAATCAATTCTGGCATTCACGGACAGTAGACCCTGGTACTGTTATGCCTTCTGATGTGATGCAATCATAAGTACACTCTGTGAGGGGGAGCGGGGAGGGGAACCAAACAAACAAAATAGCCTGAATCTAACACTGTTGAAGTATCAGATATACTTGCATAGGTGGAGGGGCTCTATTTAGACTGAATGAGGTGTTCAAAGAGATAATGGAACACAATGTGAATCTTAATTGGATATGATTTTAAAACCCACAAACTATAAAAGATATTTTTGGGTAGTTGGAAACATTTTAGTATCAACTGCTTATTAAATAATACTAACGACTTGATATATTTCTGAGGTAGAATAATAGTACTGGTTACATAGGAGAATGATGTCATTAAGACATGGATGTATACTGGTACTATACTGAAGAACTTAGGGACTCAGTGTCAAGGTATCAGTACCTCACTTTTTTGTGGGGGAGGAAAACAAGGTCTCGCTAGGTTACCCAGGTTGATCTGGAACTCCTACGCTGAAATGATCCTCCTGACCCAGCCTCCTAAGCAGCTGGGAATACAGAGATGCACCACCATGCCTGGCCTGTACTTCTAAAACTATCTTTATTTTCAATGAAAGAGGAAAGGAAGGGATATTTCCTTCACAGAACCATAAAGTTCTAGCCACAGTGCCAGAATCCAATAAATTTCCAGACTCAGTAAGTTATAGATTTGTCGTTACAATGCTACTAATAAGTATTAACAGCTCAAAATCTTCTTCCCCCAATGCTGCTGCATTTTGCAGGGTAAGAAAGCCAACCAGGGCAAAGCTACAATGGCCTAGGATTGGAGGAATTTTACAATTTGAAGCTGGGTGGTCTCTCCAGATTCACTCACCATACACACAGAAAGCACACCGGTAAGCCTGCCTGTTTTCCACGCTGGGATCCACACCAAAAGAAGATGGCTGGTGGGCCTTGTTTCTTCAGCTTTGTGGGGTAGAGGACAGTGCGTGGTCTTGGCCTGAGCCAGCATTTGAATCAGGCACTGCCACTTACTAGCTGTGTGGTCCCAGGCCAATTCCTGGGAAGACAATCACAATTGTAACAGCAACAACAGAGGCTGTTTATTGAGCACTTACTACTGTGTTAGCTGCTTTAACCATGTTAATCTCACAGATGAAGTAGATAGTATTCTACCCCTACTTTATAGACCAACCATGCCAGGCCCGCTCCTGCCTTTGCAATCTGCCATCATCTCTGCCAGGGCCGTGCAGGAAAATCTCATTCACCTGCCAGGCCTCTCAGTTTGAACCCACCCTTTCCAATTCATTTTCTGAGCATTTCATTCTTCTTATCACAGCCAACTGGCCTTCCTGTTAAAGCCAGGTAGGAGACCATCCCCAGAAACAAGGGAAGGGAAATTTCTTCCTATTTGGTCAGATCCATTTTCACCCACCCGACACTGACTGTCATCTACAATTGCCAAGATTTGTCATTCTCTCTTAGGTTCTTAAAACTTTATTTTCAAATACTGTCTTGAATTTTCAACTTGGAGCCCAAGGCATGGCGTAAGGCCCAGGTGGTCACCTGGAAGTAACCTGTGTAAGGGAATGCACGGGTAAATTTCAAGGACGATGCCCACGCTCAGAGTGAGTGATGTGTCTTTCAACAACTTGGAGGCTTCCTCACTTAGCCCAACAGGAAATGAACTTGGCTCCAGCTCTGGGGACTACGAAGGGGCACTCTCCTTTCACCTCCCGGTGGCCAACAGCTGTATCTCTAAAACCCTCTTGCACAGTTGCTATCTTTAAGAAGCCCACAGGCTGTTCCATTACCCCCCCAATCCTCAGTGTGGGAAAGAATCTAGGCGCTTCCTAGATTCGGTTGACACAGGGACCCTGGAGGGAGCAGCCCATTAGGACAGAAGGAGGAAGCAGAGTCTGAGGAAGAAAGCCCACTGACTTTTCTATGCACACAGCAAGAGTGTCTTTCACCTGATGCAGACTGTCATGCTCTTCTAGAACTTTCCTTCCTTCTCTTAGCTCACTCTCCGGTTTCACCTTGTGATGTTCCTCAGGTACAAGCACCTCATTTCAACCATTCTCTTCCTATGTCCTTCCCTTATAAACAAGGGCTTTCAAATCCTCCTTTTATCCTCACAATACCACAGCAGGGTTGCCTTACAGCACGGTGTTCAGAAGAGTTGAGGGCCCTGGTCCTTCTGTACAACCCACAAGGGGCAGGACACCCATTCCTTTTGTTCTGTTCTTTTTGAGAGAGTTTCACTATATAGCCCAGGCTGGCCTCAAACTCGAGATCCTCCTGCCTCAGCTGGGAAGACAGGCACACACCACCACGCCCAGTAAGGCACCCGCACTTTTGTTCTTTCCTGCCACTCCAGATGAACCTCTGTCTCGCTAGAGTGCAGGAAAAAAGCAGGGTCTTTGAAGCGCGGAGTTCTGCGTGGTGTGGGGCACTCACTCCACTTCTCCCCAGCGTGCCTCACCTGTAAACAGATACGGTGACGCCTTTACTTTACAGGGTGTGAGAGATGAGTGAGATCATGCGTGTGACGCACGGAGCTCAAGGATGGCCTCTTTATTTCTAGTAACAAGAACAGCGCTCTGTGCAGCCACAGGCCGCTGCCCACACCGCGACAGCGCTGCGCACCGTGTGCGCTCCAGAGCGAGGAGGGGTTCCCCTCATCCTCGGGTCCCCCTCCTTCCTTCCCCAAGCCCCTCCACCCAGTCCGACCCAGGCTAAACCTCCTCAGTCCTGGAACACCCACCAGCCCGACGCGAGTCACCGGCGCCCCCTCTCACCTAGTGAACTGGCCCCCCTCGCCCCACCCGCCAGGCTCCGCCCACAGTCCCGACCCTCTGGATCCGGGATTTTCCCACCACCGCATCCCTCGGGCTCCTCCCACCAGCCCCGCCCCTCTTTTACGGCTCGGCCTCCTCTTACTCCCCCCTCCCCGAAACACCCCCTCCCCCGCAGCTGCAGGCGTGGCCATCCCCACTTCACAGATGAGAATGACGAGGCTAGGGTAGATGACCTTTCACGTTAGGACAGATACCCCGATGGGCCCGCGTCCCCTCACTGATAGGTCCCGAGCGTCCCCCCTACCCCCCTCCCTCCCCGGGTCTCGCCGCACCCACCTCCTGCCCTCGCTCTGCAACCTCCCCTTCGCGGGCGGCCAGCGCAGCTTTCCGAGGGGGCGGAGGACCGAAGCCCAGCCCAGGGGCGTGGTGGCCCGGGGCCCACGCGCTGCATTCTGGGACTTGTAGTTCCCTCGGGGCTTCACGCGGCTTGGCGCGCCGAAGGCAAACCTCATCTCCCAGGAAGCATTGCGGAGGGCGCCTGGCTCTCACCCCGCCCCCGCCGGCGCGCAGGCCAGCTGGTCTTAAAGGGGACGCGGTCCGAGCGAAGGCTCACGGGGTGGCCCCTGCTCCGGCTCCGCCCCGTTTCCCGCACCTCGTCCCTCCCCGCCTCCCCCCGCTTCGTCCCGCAGTCCTGCAGCCGAGCCGCAGAATCGGGATCCTTGGGTTTATACAGGGTTGTGCAGAGCAGGGTGGGAAGATTGGACTTTGCAGTAGAAGCAGCATCCCTGTAGTCTGGGACCTGGTGGAGAGCGACCCCACCCTGGGGGGGAACAGTGGACCCGCCCTGACCTAGCCTGGCCCAGCCTAGTTCTGCTGGGCCTGGGCGCCCCGCCCAGGAGCCGGCTCTGGAGTAGGGACCACTGAGGTCTGAGAGGTAAGGGTATTGGGGGTGTGGGTAAAGGTCGGGTGGGTGTCTGCACTTGGGCATTTCAAGAACCCCGGGCTTGCCTGTAGGGCTCCAAAGTCAGGGGCGGGAGGCAGAAGGTCTGAATGCACCCTGGGCAATGCTGTGTGACCTTGGGTGAGTAGCTACCCCTCTCTGGGCCTCAGCCTTCTTTATCAATTGTATATTGAGGTCCAGCGCTCTCCTCCTTCAGGGCTGAGAGCACAGCCAGCACTTGGGGGAGGGGCACTCCGGCTGGGCTGGGTACAGGAGGGAGGGGCCGACCTGAGGTACAAACTCAGGACTGCCAGAGGCCCCCACTGCTTGGAATAGGCTTGTGCTATTCTCCACATCCTGGGCCTGGGGTACTTGTGAGGGCTCTTGCAAATTGGAGACCTGATGGATCTGCTTGGTGTCCCCCTTTCTAGAAAGCCTGGGGTAGGGGTTGGGGCTCAGCCAGCAGAGGTTTACGGGCGGCCCCGAAAGGATGGTAGGTACCTGAGGACGGAACAGCTTCCCTTCACCTTCAGTTATAAATACTTCCTTTTTCCAGTAAAATCCATTTTCTTTCTTTCCAGGAGGCAGTTCGGTGGCCTAAACAAGGGCCTCCTAGAGTAGGGTGAAGGGTGTCTTTCCAGGGCGGCCTTGGCTAAAAGAAGTTCAGTTAAAAATACTGTACAGAGAGGTCAGGTGCAGTGACGCATGCTTGTAATCCCATCCTGTGGTCCCAGCACTGGGGAAGCTGAGGCAAGAGGATTGTCAGTGCTATGTAGCAAGTTTGAGTTCTGCCTGAGCTACAAAGACCCTGTCTCAAAACAAAAACAAGACAAACAAAAAACCCAAACAAACACCCAAAAAACAGTAACACTCTGAACGGGTACTGTTGCCAGAGCTCTGGGGGGCCACAGAAAAAGGGCGTTTTCTGGTGAGAGGGACAGCTGGGTGCCCTCAGGTATCCTGGGACCCAGGGGAGTCAGAGGAGAGAAGCGGGTGTGAGGTCTGAGAGGTGCTGAGCAAGGGCCAGGGTGGCTGCTGGGTCCTAGGGAGCCAGGACATCCGGGACCTTTGTGACGTCCTCTCCCTGGTGGGAAATGGTGGGAAAACCTGGAAGGTTAACCAGCAATGTTTTGTTTTGTTTGTTTTCTTTTTCTTTTTTCCCTGCATGTGTTGTTTGAATCATTTCTAGGATGGCTACGCTTCTTAGTCCCATCCAGTGACCCCTGTAGGAGCTCTCTTGGCTGATATTTAAGATTCTCAGGGTCATGAGTATGCAAGGCCAGGCCTGGGCAGAGGGGAGGGTGGTGACTGGACCCAGGGTCAGGCCTGTCTCTGGAATGGGCTTTTCTGGTCACATCTTGCTTTTTCTCATCTTGCTGTCACATCTCTCTCCTCAGTCACTTGACGTTTTTGTAGACATCTCAGTGCTTGGTCCTGCCCTGGGCATGGGCACAGAGAAGGGCATTAGACCTACTTCATTCCAGCCTAGTGGGAGAGACAGGCATGGAGTCATCATATTGCAGTTGGATAAAAGAAGCTAAGTGGGCCTGGGAGGCCAGAGCTTAGAGACCTGAGTTGTGGAGGAGTAGGGAAAGGCCTTCCAGAGGAGGGCTGTGTGAGCTGGGCAGGGCGAGGGCAGAACCCCTTCCCAGCAGGGCATCAGGGAAAAGTCCTCTGTCCAAATTCCCCACTGACCACCATCAATTCTACCCCACCCCTGCCCCACGTCACCTTAGTGTCACACACAGCGCCTGAAAGTCAGGTCAGGAGTTGGGCTCTCATCCAGAAGGGGCGGGGCGGCCGTGGGAAGTCTGAGCTAGGCTGGTGGATGGAGCTGTCGGGTAATAAGAGTGACCTGACGTGGTGCCCGATGGATTGGAAACTTGATGGAGGGGTGGTGAGGGCTGAGCTAGGGCCAGGCAAGGAGGGGCAGTGGAGCTTTGGAGTTGTAAATACACACACACACACACACACACACACACACACACACGGTGCTTTGGGAGTGATGTAGATGAATCAGGCTTCACCATGAGGAACAGGAATCTGTGAACACACAGCAGAAGGCCAGCCGTCAGGGATAGCCAGGTGTTGTCCTCCATTCTGGAGTTCGGAAGTTCTAAGAGGTGGCCTCCACAGGGTGGGTAGTAGGGCAGCTGTATTCAAAGCTGGGCTCTGTTTGCTTCTGGGACCCTTGCCCCTGTAGGAGGGTGGGTGGAGGGAGGCAGCGAGGAGCTTGGTTAGGAGGCTGCTGCACTCGTTGAGGCAGGAAGTAGAGGAGCTGGCCCCAGGTGGGGCTGCAGCCTGGTGGAACCCTGAGAGGGCGGGAGGCCCCAGGGAGGAGACCCTTTGTAGACTCAGGTAGACTGGCGGCAGTGCACATCGCCTTGCCTCCCTCCTCTGTTTCATCCCTCAGTGCCAGATGGCCCAGTAGACTCAGGACCGCCCCAGCCCTCATTTTTTAAATACTTTGTCCCAGCTGTGTGACTGGCAGGCCCAGAACTGCCCCCATTTTCCAAGTGAGAAGGTTGAGGAGCCAGGTGGACACTCACTCAAGGTCACCTGGTGATTCTGAAGCAGAGAATCTGGATTTCAAGCTTTTAATGAGCGCTCTTGTGAGGGGGAGGGCCGCTGTTTGCAGCTGCGTTTGGCGTCGGGCGGCTTTCTCCTGGGTCAGAGCCAGCACGGACAGGCCGTCTCCATCAGGAGCATGGTGGGGTAATCCAGCTTCCTATGAGGACTGCTGGGGCCTGCTGCTTCCTCCACGAGAGTGCAGGTTCTAATCCTGCACTGCCTGTCAAGGCCCTGGGCCTCTCCTTCCCTGAGCCTCAGCTTCCCTGGCCCTGCCAAAGGGGCAGCCGATCTTGTCCTGCTTTGTTTCTCCGGCCTGAGGTATGGTCAGGTGAGGGTGAAGCCGCTGAAACCCTTTTGCATGAGTGCACTGGAGATAATATTGAGTGGGTTTGTTGGTGACCATGGTGACAGCTGCCCTGACTGTCTGTGTAGGAGTGGGGGCAGGTAGGCAGGGCTTGTGTGATGTGGCCAGGCCACAGGCTGAGCGAGGCCGCAGGGCCGGCCTTGGGGATGAGCCCTTGCTGAGTGGTGAAGCCCACCCCATGCGGCTGATAATAGGTGGAGCGATGTGAAATTGCCAGCATTTGAGCACTCAGTTTCATGGGGTTTAATGTAATATCCTTTATCCCCATTTTACAAGAGAAAAGAGGGCCATGGATATGCCTTACTTAAGGTCACACAGTGAATTTGACCTGAAATGCAGGGCTGTTTCCCATCTGATTTGCTTTCATCAGAGCTTTTCCTGGGCCCAGAGGTCCATGTCTGGCTGCCCATTCTCCACGGCGGATGCCAGTGTGTCACCGATTGGGGTCTCTCCTTAGCTGCCCGAGTATCTGGATTTCGTGGCCACCTGGCTTGAAAGTGTGTTAAATCCCCTAGGGCTGGGGAGGCCGTCTCTGGGGTCTGGAAGAGGGACTGTGTCTTGTAAGGGAGGTTGGCACAGCAGCTGCTTTGCCACAGGCACTGCCTAAGAAAAGGGACCAGGGCTGAAGGGAGACCAAGGGTTTTGTTTTTGTCTTGGCAGTGCTGGGGATGGACCTAGGACTTGTGCGTGCCAGGCGAGTGCTCTGCCCAAGTCACATCCTAAGACTAGTTTTAAAGTCACGTTAGAAGCCTGTCCAGATCATGCTCTGAACCGGAACTCTTGACATACGTACATGTTTGCTGCCCCCACCAGCCTGGATGCCACTCAAGGGACTGCACTTGGCTTTTAAAGAAACAGGAATGGACATTTTCCGAGAGCTTCTGTGTGCCCAGCACCATGCGAAAGGCTTCTATTTGTCCTCACAGCTCTGCAAGGTGGGAGCAGAGCCTCAGGGAGCATAAGTAACTTTTATGGTAACCAGAATGCATCCCACGTGAGCCTCCCTCGAAGACTAAAAAAGCTGAGATTTGTTTTTTTTTTTTTTTGTACCGGGAATCGAACTTAGGACGTTGCGCTTGCCAGCAAGGCAGGTGCTAAAAAAGCTGAGTTGAACACATTATTCTGCCTACTTCCTGGTTAGGAGCCCTGGGACCAGCCCTGGGCATTGAGCTTTTTTTCCCATCTAAGATGAAGGCTATATAATTTT